TTAAATTTTTCCTCCTTCCTCCTCCAGCACCCGATATGGAATCCCCCCAGACCCTTTTTTTTGTTTTCGCGCAAAATACAGCAGGTGCACGGGTGATGTCACGGGTTCGAATACTGGTGGCCTCACCCCTTTTTGTTTTTTTTAAATTTCCAGATTCATTTATTTAACTTTAGTCTAAATTAACATTGTATTGTTCCTGGAAATTTTTGTCCTTCTCCAACCATTTTTAGGTGCAATTTTTTTCATAATTTTAAATAGCTATAAGATGGTTATTCAATTCTCTATATTCATTATAAAGAACATCACATTACACACATAAAATACACAATAAATACACAACTTATACACCCCAAAACAGTGCCTAAAATACTGGCCTTTACACGCCTATACATCAACTTTTCGGGTCATAGTTTGATGATCATTATCCTGATTTCCCGCACATAAACACATTCATATTTAATTTAAACACATCATTCATGCAAAAATCTAGCAGCACAACATATCCATCCTACAAATTCTTTAGGGAGCTAAGGACAAGGTCATACGAAGGGGGAACACCTTTGTTTCAAGAATTTAAGAAACGTTCGAAAGAAAGTACTCTTGGAGAAAGAATTCCATGAGATAGACCCATACCTGTATTAAGTTCAAACGAAGAATTTTCTGCCCAAAACTCTCTCCAAAAATCAATCCAAGTTACTTCAACGTCCACACCACTCAACGAACAACTTCTCTTCGCCTTAATGTTTTTGGTTGCTTTAGTTTTCTTAACTATTCATGTGAGTTCTTCAAGTGTGAAGAACTGTTGATGTATTCTCTGGTTTTTGTTGTGCTTGGCAGAATAACGTGAGAAAAATGGAGAACGTGAGAGAGAGAGAGAGAGAGTTAAGAAGCGTGAGACAGAGAGAACTATTAGGATTACAAGACTAAATTCAAGACTTAGTTAAATTAAAATTTAAATTAAATTAATGCAAATATAGTTTATATTAATTAATACACGAAGGGACCATTATGCCCTTAAAATTTCTGATTTTTAATTAAATATTAAATCACCTTAAGTACCTTTTTATTCTTATTTATTTTTCCCTTTTTTTTGGATCGCTACAATAAACTAATTTTTTGTGTAGATAAAATGAATACTTTCATCAACAATGAAGAGTTCAGCAAGAAGAAACTGATTTTCATAATGTGGGCCACAGGAACGGGAAAATTCCTTCTCTCGGTTGACCTTGCCACCCATTTTCGAGGAGAAATAATCAACTCAGATAAAATGCAAGTTTTCAAGGGACTTAAAATTGTTACAAACAAGATCACACACACTGAAAAACAAGGTGTACGACATTATTTGTTAGGTTTATATGTTTATTCTCAAGAATACTTATATCAAATGACTACATAGATAATTTTGTATTAGTAATTGTATATTGTTGTGACAAATATACTTTACTATTAAAAAAAATTTCTTTCAATTCTGAGAATGTTAATTTGATCACATTTTCTTAGGTGAAGTTGAACCAGATTCAGACTTCACAGCTGAAGATTTTTGTTTGCAAGTTGTCGTCTATATAGAAAAATTACTGAAGACTCAACGTCTTCAAATTGTTATTGGAGGGTCAAATTCGTATATTGAATAACTTGTGGAAGATCCTGTGTTCATGTTAAATATAAGTATGATAATTGCTTTATTTTGATTGATGTTGAGCAATCAGTCTTGAACCGTATAGTTGACATGAGGGTTGATCAAATGGTCAAAGCAGGTAATTTTTGTAATTATTTTATGTATCAATCAAGTTATACTATCATGAAGCTAGATAAAAACTTTTCTTATATAATTTTCTTAATAGTACTTTTGGTTATCAAATATATGTTCTACTAAATAAAACTCTTCTTTAAATTTGTGTTGCATGTAGGGCTAGTGGGTGAGGGGCGATATATTTTCATTCCAGATGTAGATTACACCAAAGGAATCCGACGGTCCAACGGTGTCCCTGAAATGGAAAGATATTTAAGGGAAGAAACAAATATAGACAGAGATGATGAATCAAAGCAGATGATTCTTCAAGCTTCAATTTCAAGTATCAAGCATAGTGCTCGTATGTTAATTTGTAACCAACATGACAAGATTCAACGATTATTAAGCAAGAAAATGTGGTTGGTGCATCATATTATTGCTACGGACATTTTCAAAGAAGATAAAGAAGAAGATCTTGATGAAGCATGGATGAATACTGTTTTGCAACCATGCCTACATATTGTGAAGATATTTCTCAAAAACGATCATCACAATATTATTATTGAGTGTACATAAACTGTCATTATCGCCATCTTCTGTTTTGGTATCTTTTATTTTTGACGTATTTTGTATAGTTTGTATTGCATTACAAATATATATGTATGATATGACCCTTATTTTTATATATGTTACTCTTGTCTGTAACAAAAATCATATCTATAAATGAAATATTTATTTTAAGTTTCGATCCAAGTCCAAGTCTTCTATATTTAATATATATTAATACAAATATGTACGTACACAATTACATGAGATCACTCATAATGTCAAGCTAATAGAGTGATAAAATAATAAATCTCGATAAATGTTCGCGAAGATTCTACACTAAAAGGATTTTGAATAATAGAATTCTTAACTTAATACTGAAAAATGTTACATAGACAAAGAAGATAAAATAGTAAATTTGTAATCTATCGGTAATGAATATATTCTACCTAATTCTATCACGGTGATTGAAGCTTGATTCAATGAAGTCCTTATCTATTATTATATGGTGCACAAGTTAATATAAATACTCGTAATTTAAATAGTTATCGATAATTGTTCACTTCCCTCTTATGGAATTAGACTAAACACGTATGATGTGTTGTTGTATAGTGTAAGATTTGACGCATTATCACTTGAATATATACCGATAGAAATATTATTGAGTTCTTTGTACAATCCTTTTGTAACTACTTGTGATCTCATAACAATATACATCTAGAAAAGTCATCCTAAAATAATTTAAGCTTAATCGCCAAAATTTAAGGTGACATATCTCTAAATTTTTTAATGAACTATTCTTATTCTAAAATATATGAATTTATATATATTTAATTTGGTTTACTAATTAATAAGTCTATACAAATCACATTTTTACTAGAAAAGCCCAGCTCTATGTGATCTCCTAACAACGTACACTAATAACTTTATCCTAAAATATATTTTAATAATAATTACCAAATTTAAGTTGATATATCTACACACTTTTAAAAGTCATTCTTATCCTAAAATGTATCAGTAATTATGAAATTGGTATGTCAATTAATAAGTCCACAAAAAGATTTTACTATAAAAGCTGAATGTAATTTTTTTTTGACATGCACCATCAAGAAAATATTATATTTTTAGATATTATATTCCAAGTCAAGCAAGGTTTCTACTTACTAGCTTTATATTTACAAGATTTTTCAATGTCTGATTTTATGAATTCACTATTCCAAACTAATTATTATTTTTTTGTAGATAAAATGAATACTTTCATAAACAATGTAGAGTTCAAGCACAGGAACGGGAAAATCCCGTCTCTCTGTTGACCTTGCCACACATTTTCGAGGAGAAATAATCAATTCGAATAAAATGTAAGTTTACAAGGGACTTGAAATTGTTACAAACAAGATCACTCACACTGAGAAACAAGGAGTACGACACTATTTGTTAGGTATATATGTTTATTCTCAAGAATACTTATATCAAATGACTACCTAGATAATTTTTTAGTATTAATTATAAATTGTAGTGATAAATATACTTTACTATTAAAAAATTAATTCTTTAAATTCTGAGAAAGTTAATTTGATCACATTTTCTTAGGTGAAATTGAACCAGATTCAGACTTCACAGTTGAAGATTTTTGTTTGCAAGCTATCGTCCATATAGAAAAAATACTGAAGACTTAACGTGTTTCAATAATTGTTGTTGGGTCAAATTCGTATATTGAAAAACTTGTGGAAGATCTTGTGTTCATGTTCAAATATAAGTATGATAGTTTCTTTATTTTGGATTGATGATGAGCAATCAGTCTTGAACCGTAGAGTTGACATGAGGGTTGATCAAATGGTCAAAGCAGGTAATTTTGGTAATTATTTTATGTATCAATCAAGATATACTATGATGTAGCTATCTAAAAACTTTTCCTATATAATTTTCTGAATAATACTTTTGGTTATCAAATATATGTTCTTCTAAATAAAACTCTTCTTTAAATTTGTGTTGCATGCAGGGCTAGTGGATGAGGTGCGACTAATTTTCATTCCAGATGCAGATTACACCAAAGGAATCCGACGGTCCATCGGTGTCCCTGAAATGGGAAGATATTTAAGAGAAGAAACAAATATAGACGGAGATGATGAATCAATATACATCTAGAAACGTCATCCTAAAATAATTTAAGCTTAATCGCCAAAATTTAAGGTGACATATATCTAAATTTTTTAATGAACTATTCTTATTCTAAAATATATGAATTTATATATATTTAATTTGGTTTAATAATTAATAAGTCTATACAAATCACAGTTTTACTATAAAAACTCAGCTCTATGTGATCTCCTAACAACGTACACTAATAACTTTATCCTAAAATATATTTTAATAATAATTACCAAATTTAAGTTGATATATCTATATACTTTTAAAAGTCATTCTTATCCTAAAATGTATCAGTAATTATGAAATTGGTATGTCAATTAATAAGTCCACAAAAAGATTTTACAATAAAAGCTGAATGTAATTTTTTTTTGACATGCACCATCAGGAAAATTTTATATTTTTTGATATTATATTCCAAGTCAAGCAAGGTTTCTACTTACAAGCTTTATATTTACAAGATTTTTCAATGTCTGACTTTATGAATTCACTATTATAAACTAATTATTATTTTTTTGTAGATAAAATGAATACTTTCATAAACAATGAAGAGTTCAACAAGAAGAAAGTGATCTTCATAATGGGGGCCACAAGAACCGGAAAATCCCGTCTCTCCGTTGACCTTGCCACCCATTTTCGAGGAGAAATAATCAACTCGGATAAAATGCAAGTTTACAAGGGACTTGAAATTGTTATAAACAAGATCACTCACACTGAGAAACAAGGTGTACGACACTATTTGTTAGGTATATATGTTTATTCTCAAGAATAATACTTATATCAAATGACTACCTAGATAATTTTATAGTATTAATTATAGATTCTAGTGATAAATATAATTTACTATTAAAAATTTATTTCTTTTAATTCTGAGAAAGTTAATTTGATCACATTTTTGTCACGACCCAAAACCGGACCGCGACTGGCACCCACACTTACCCTCCTATGTGAGCGAACCAACCAATCTAAACCTTAACATTTCAATATAATATCAACAGAAAGTAAAGCGGAAGACTTAAACTTATCAATAAAATCAATAACTATTATTATCCCCAAAATCTGGAAGTCATCACCACAAGAACATTTATGATCAAATTACTAAGCTGAGAGTATTCTAAGAAGCTAAAACAAATAAAGCTAGTCCATGCCGAAACTTCAAGGCATCAAGACATGAAGAGGAAGATCCAGTCCAAGCTAGAAGCATTAGCTCACCCTGATATCCGGAGTAATGAAGACTGGCTAGAGTTACTGTTGAGTCGAAGATGACGGCACGTTTGCTCTACTCCACAAATAAACAAGAAGAAAACAT